CCCAGGGACCTGCCCCGGTATTTCTGGATGGTTTCCGGGGAGTAGAGCTTGGGAATGTCGTAATACGGGTTTACGGCGATCAGGATGTTGGCCACAAACGTCTGAGGGGAGAAAGAAGCTGCATGAATACGTTCTACACCCCAAAAAAACCCCTCAAACACCCCCAAAACAGCCACTAAACCAGCTAAAATAAGCATAAAGTAGAAATAAAATCATTATTTATCGAGAATAATCATTTCTAACCCTAAAAAATGGAAATAAAGTGATTAAATAAAATAAGAAATTTAGTAAAAAATGTGTTTACATTTAATAAAATAAAAGTAAATTGATGTTTTGAATGATAAAATCTTTATTCCTTACACTGAGGGCTGAATTTTAGTGATAAATCAGATGAATAAAGTCTGAATTTGGGACAAATGTTGGATTATGGGTTCATTTTTGGGAGAATCTGGCCGGTTAGTTAAGACAGTGTTTTTCAACCTTTTTTGAGCCAAGGTACATTTTTTCATAGAAAAATCTCAAGGCACACCACCAACCAAAAATGTCAAACAAATCTGTACCCGCCTATAGTAACACTATAGATATTCTCATCTTATTCTTATCTTATCTTAAGTGTCTTGAATAGGAATTAAATAAACACAAAAATGTCTTTTTATCATATTTTTACATTTCTTCTTTGAAATTGCACTTAACATGTCCACTTCAATATACAAAATTATATCCAAAATCTAGTCATAAGGAATTATTACATGATTACTCCACCAGTCACTAGAACAGCACACACACTCAGAAATGGCAGATTATTTGCAGATAATTAATTCCTTATCAAAAAATCTTTTTAGACCAATTAGGTGAAATAGGATGATTTTCTACACTAGTGTACCGAGGACCAGGGGTGAAAAACACTGGACTATAGGGCAGCGTCCACCAGGAAGTGTCTCTGTTCAACCCACTAAGAGACACTCCCCCCACCGGCCACCAGGGGGCAGCAGAGGCCGGTAATATTAAAGGTTCCCGCCACAGGAAGTGTTTCTGTACGACCCAATAAGGGGCGACACCGGGCAAAGGCCAATCTGAAGCCTTTTAGAGGAGAAATAAGGAGGAAATGTGGATGGAAAATCATCATCTGATGATCTGATGTTTGAAGACGAATTTTAATAGTTTTAAAGAAACGTTTTCAAACTTTAAAAGGATCAAAACAAACCTACTATCACAGTTTTATCAAGTTAAAACTATTATCTTTAGTTTTATCCATTTATCTGTGTAAGTTTCCCTCTTTTTTTTCTTTTTTTAAAACATGTTTTCTATATATTTGAATTTTTTAAATATATTTTTTATGTAATGAGTTTTTTTTAGATATTTTCAATAGTATTAATAAATCTTTTCTGGATTTTCTATATATTTATCCTTTATATTCTTTCTATAGATTTATCCATTTATCTATGAACGTTTCCCTTTTTTTAAATATATCTTTTT